AAATATGCCTGAAAGGATGAAATTGGCACCACCAGCAATTTTTTCCAAACAGATCCCTTCTCTTTGCATGTCATTTCTGGTTTGCAAAATCCACATATTTACATACCGTATGTCTTGCACCCCACTTTGCCCTTGTACATGTTCGTTTCCTGTCTTCTCCAGTAATCTGCATCAAGATTACCTGCCACCACTATATTATCAGGGAAGAGAGGAAATTATATATGTGCTTGTGAAGTATATATCTGCCCACTCAAAACATTTGCCCCCTTCATAAAATACATGAGAATGCTCAAAAGTCACATAGTACTGAATATGTTTATTCATTAAGACCAGCTTCCAGGTCCTAATGGAATGCCTAATTAGGAATGTCCCACAGCCTAATTAGGAATGTCCCACAGCCATTTCTTGCCCTGTATATTGATTTCTATGGCTTTTTGAATCCTGTTTGCACATTGTTAAATTGCTACTCTTCCTTTCACCATGTTATTTTTGCAGCCACATCATCTGACTGCCTTGATACAGAGCAGGAGTAATATTTATGTATGCCTGATGGAAGAGAGCGATCCATTAACTGAGCGAGCCAAACTGAGTGGGAGTATTAGGGCTTGTTCTTCCTGACAAGCAGGATGATTAAACTGCTCTTGGGCCAACCATCTGGCCTAAAGCCAAAAATATTTTTTATTTAAAAATTAAATATACCAATGTTTTTAGTACAGATTTCAACTACATCATGATGTTCATCTTAGGGATCAGCAACTTGTAAAACTAGCTCACAAACAGGGCTCTGTAATAAACATGGTCTGGAGCTGGCATGACATTGTCTTTGAGTTACAGAGACGGTTTCTCAACAGGTCCATATGATTATTCATATTTAAACTGGCAACCTTCTAGTTTACATGGCTGAAAAGACAAGCTCAGCACTTGACTGGGTTGTACATTGCAGAGTTTAGAAAAAAGTTACCGTATTTTTTGCACCATAAGACGCACTTTTCCCCCACAAAACAGGGGGGTGGAAAGTCTGTGCGTCTTATGGAGCGAAGAAAACAGATTATATTTTCCTGTTTTCTTCTCCTAAAAAATTGGTGCATCTTATGGAAAGGTGTGTCTTATGGAGCGAAAAATACGTACTTTTTGGTGGTTATAACTTCCAGAAACTTCAAGCAAGCATGGCAATAAACCATGGTGGCTGGAGAGGGGTTGGCAGCTGTAGTGAAAAGTGTAGCTTTTCCAAGCTCTGATTTATTTATTTTTTTGGCCAATGGGATAGTGCTGAATCGAGACAACTACCTGTGAAACCTCAGTGCTTTTGTGACATAGTGCTATATTGGAAAAGTTCAATAAAAAATATTGTTCAGAGAGGCAAGAAGCTCTCACTTGAGGGGTGATGCTGTCATTGTACTGTCATGCCATAACCCACCATCTGTGTCACCTAAGGAAACACCTGCCATTGCCCCTTCAGACTGATATAAGTGATTATACCTGACAGAAACAAACAAATGAACAAAATCATATAAAATGTGAGCAGAATTGTTAGAAAAAAAAATACTAGCTCTTGCTTGCTGAACAAAAAAGAATGAATGCCCATGGAAAAAAGACCAGGTTTATTCATAATTAGCTATATGTTGTGGGAAACATACTGGAAACATATTGAATAGAACTGTGTACTAGGGCAGTGGGGAACAAAACTGATTTGTATTTTGGTTTCTGTATTTATAGTTTATAAAATAGAATAACATTTATTTAAAAAAAGAACTGTGCCAACTCTGGTACAAACTGTGGGCTGACCTGCAGTGCAAACACATCCTATTGTTAGAATTTTAAATGAGACTTTAATTCTAATTGTATTTCAGTAGTATAATGAGTTTAATTCTATTTCAATATTTATGACCTAATGTATTTTAAATCTAGTGCTTTTAACTATATTATAAGCCACCTGGGCTTTTAGATCTGGAAGAAAAGCAGCATATTAAAAAAAATTAAATTAATTAATTAATGGTTACCATCTACAGAAGGCGAGGAATACCTAATTTGACTAAAATGTGGGGAGATTGGGCATGCAGATTTAACATAACTTTTCCACAATAATTTCTGTCTAAAATGTTGCACGATATAAACATTTGTAGCACAAAGATGAGGAAAAAATGGGGAACGATGAGACAGGAGTTTGGCTAATTAGAAGTTAACATTTAAAATTTAGGAGGCCCTCAGCTTATGTGATAGTATGTTGTTTCAATTGAGAAAGAGAAACAAATTTAGGTGCTATATCTAAATAAGATATTGGAAACACAAGAAAAGGAAAACATCTGATTTTAGAATGATTGTTATGAAAGGAATGGAGGCATACTTTCTGTACCTGATGTATATAGCTTTTGTTAGTTTTTTGTTGATCAGCAAATAGCTTTAGGATTATGCAGTTATCAGCAAATGTATGGTTAATCAATGCAATGAGTTACTCTGTAACTGCAGTCCACCAGGGAATTAATCTCACTGGAAAAAAATTACTTGCCAGTAAACTTGCAGAGAGTTGTACCTATAGGCCAAAATGCACACATGTTATCTGTTATGAGTGGAACACACACATTTGCATTTATTTATTTTGATGTATGCTATTAATAAACTTTTTTCCAAATAAATTATTTAAAGTATTATACAAAATGATTAAAAAAGCAGTAATTGTGAAAGACACTCAGTTTTATATTTAGCCTGCAGAAAATGGTAAATATAAATTCACACAGTCCATTCAAAATGGACATGCAATTTTATTATGGAAAATAGGCCTGCCCATAATACAATTCACAGCGGCAGATGACAATATTGGCATTAAAATAAGTTCAAATAATAATCTACTTCAGTGATGGTCCAAGTTTAATACAGACAGATGGACTAATAGTATATATAAGACAAATATTTTTATAAAAATACTAACAGCAAATGACATACAGTGCTTGTGGCACATTTAAGACCAATAAATATTTAATTGCATACATTTCCATGGGCTACAGTCCACTTTGTCCTATGGATAAACTGTTGAACTGAGGAGTGCACCCACAGAAAAACATATACAAAGAGTAGAGAGAGAGGTAAAATTAAAGGAAAATGAAATGGGAAAGAATACAGTGACATTTATATGGAAGTTTAAATATATACAAAACAACTATAGTGACCTCTCACGAATCAATGGCTGGTCTTTGTCTGACAATAATATGCCTTTGCAACAATAAATTAACTAATGGATTGTATTACATATAAAAATAACACTTTCACTTCCTCTTTCACATAAGCATGTTGCTTATGTAATCATCTAGAAAGCACAAGAGCTGACAGTGCATGAATTTGCTTACAACAGAGGCTACACTGTAAGCAAAGTAATGAGTATGTTTCCAACATGGGCCAAAAATATCTGCTGATCACAGGCTACATCCCCATACTCAACATTAGGTATCAATTTTATTTCTATTTCAGAACTGCAATATTTTTTGATTCATCACAATGCTTCCCCTCCCCTCCATCAGTGCTTCTCAGATTTTGACAAGTTCTCCCTGATGACATGTCGACAATAACTTTCTAACTCTGTATCATGTGAGAATGAGATCGTTCATCCAGTGTGTGTTGGTACGCTCACAGCCAGCTCAGGGACAGTCTGGAAGTGTTATGCCCAAGGAGAGCTGAGCTATTTTTGAAGTAAAGCACATCCGTTTCTGCTTATGGGTCGGTGAGATGGTCTGTCCTGCAAAATAGTGGACAAGAGAGGAACTGGCAAATGCAGATACAATATAAGGGTTGCCGACAGTTAAAGCGTGCCTGTAAACGCTAGCATGATTTTATATTTCCAAACGTGTAGAGGCAAAGCTTTCTGCCTTTTCTTGTCTCCTAGGGATTACTCCAGGCTAACAGTAAAACCAACACATCATCTGCTGGGACCTCTCTCGAGTCTCTCCAGCTTCTCTCATTTTATTTGGGGACACCACATAGACACCATGAGGGAGTGGACTATTGATTCCGTGAAAGCCCACGACGAAACAAATTTGTTTGTCTCGAAGGTGCCACAGTACTTTTGTTTGAATGTTTGCTTGTGGTAAACATCAAATCAGGTTTTCAGAGCGATAGCCACGTTCGTGTTGAAACAGACCAGATCATGGTGTGCTCTTTGAAAAGCCACGTGATGTTCAGCGCAAACAAAACAAAAACCAGACGTATTGTGGCTCCATTAAGATTAACACATATCTTTCAGTGTAGACAGACCTTTGGGGGTTGCGATCTGCTTTTCGACATGCAGCAGCGCCTCTTGAACAAGTGGATTGGACATCCCAAAAAAAATTAAAAAAAAAATAAAGTCAAACGCTGAAATATATGTGATCATCCTAAAGGTGCCACAACGGGAGCAGAAGAACGCGTTTCCTTGCGCTTGAGAATCTGACAACTGCGTGAAACACACACTCCTCCCTTGGGGAAACGCTTTCCGACTCAATGATCCAGTAGCTGCTTCCCAAATAGCTCCCGGAGCGTCCCATTCGACCTGCCAGATCCCTGCACCCAAGGTTGCCGAAATGTTGGCTAGGACCCCCCCCCCCCGCCTGGCCTAGAAAGAGTTAAAGGATTTCCGTGGACGCCTATTGGGCAGCCCGGGCGGAGATTTGCCGTTCCGATTTTGTGGAGGAAGAAAGTTGCTGAGTCTTGGAAGAGAGCGAAAGGGAGGGAAGGAGAGTGGGGCGGGAGAGGGAGGGAGGGCCCACGCACACGCACACACTCACTCACTCACACACACCCCGAACTCCCAGCCCGGAAAGACGGCTCCGAGCCGGGAGCGATGGCGAAGGCATTCCTCCCGAGCCAGGGCCTTGGGGAGCTCGGCGTCTGAGGAGGAGGAGGAGGCGCTCCAACAGGCACGAAACTTTCCGGATCCCCAGAGAGTTGCAGGGCAGCCGCCAGGCTCGTTCCGGACAGGGACGGCTGCCATGGCCGGGGCGCCCGCAGCGTAAGGAAGCAGCCTAGCCCCGCCTCCGCGCCTGGATTCCTCCTCGGAGCCCGCTGGCCGGAGCAAGAACGCCCGCCGCCTTCGCGCCTGATCCCGCCGCGGCCAAGCTGAGCGGGGTCTCCCGCGGGGGCCTTCTCTGAAGCCAAGCGCGCCCCCCATACAGACCCTCAAGAACACCGGCCGTTCTCCCCCCGTCGGCCCCGGAGCGGCGGCATAAAAGGGGCTTGGGCTCACACACACACACGCACACACACACACAGAGTTTTAATTCCCACCCCGCTCCCCGCACCCGCCGCTGCCGTCGTCATGTCCCCGGGGAGGGGGCTCCTGCCTTACCCCGCCGCTGCCTACCTCTGCGTCCTCTCCTCTTTCTTCCACGGTGTGCGAGGTTAGTAGCTTCCTTCACCATCAGATTTCATTTTTTTTGGGGGGGGGGGACGACGACGGGTGGCGAAGTAAACCCCTCAGGGGGCGGGCGGGAGCCGGGCGTGAAGTTTCGGGGCCGATTTCTCCCCTCACCCACTCCCGCTGCGTGAAAGTCGCCAAACTCCAAGGGCAGGCGGTCTGAGTTATTCCGTGGATTAGGGAGAAGTTCCCTGCGAGTGCCAGCAAGGGCTGACTGAGCCAAAGACACTTGAGGTGTGCCCCAGTCTCAGAGTCTGGTAGTGGAGAGGAATGTAGAATAAACAGCGCGAGAGAGTCTTGAACTCAGGAGACGCGAGTTCAAATCCTTGTTGGAGCGCGGGAACTCGGGGGGGGGGAGCGGGCAAAGGCGAACCACTCCTTGAACATCTTGCATACTTAAAAAAAACAATTAAGGTCGCCATAAATCCGAAGTGACTTAATGGCACATAACAACAGCGGAAGCAACAAAATAAACTGTTAAAGCATAAAAAGTTCAGTGTGAGGAGATAAACATTGCAGCAGCAGACGTGCAAATCAGTACATAGGTGGATAATTTATCCTACACGTAATAGTTAAAATAATTACAGCTGATCAAAATCCACCCCCTCTTGGAGGGTTTCTGACCCCTGGAGCCTTGGGAAGTGGAGATCAATGCAAGGTATCAAAGGTGCAGGCATTGATCTGAATTAAGGCTGGGGTGCAAATCATCCTGTGCTTGCTTATTTGGAAACACTAAGAATTTAAGGAAAACTTGTTTCTTGTTTCGGAGATGCTTGTGATTGGGAGTGAGTGGCCAAAGAGACTTAGTTGGTCAAATGTTTTGAGCATCCCAGTAAAAGCATCCCAGAAAGGGAAGCCAAGAGCTGTTGGAATAGAGGTGCCAATTTTTTTAAAAAGTGAATTGATTATACAGTTTGTGTAGACTTTCTCCATTGCAAAAGAAAAGTAACATATTTTACTAATTCATATGCACAAACACTTATCACATAAACTTGGTTTCCATAAAATCTGTGCCTAGATAGAAAGACCACTTAAAAATGACACTTCAGAGGAGCAGGCCTCCCAAGATGGACCGTGTTTATCCTGCAGCACCAGAGAGGCCTCTGTGGTGGGTTTCTCTTTCCGAGCCAAGGAAAAGCATATACTGCGGAGGTGTTTATAGTGTTAAAATTGGCTGTCTTGTAAGGAGGCCTTTTATAAAGGAGTCAAGTTGGGTTCATAGACACATGCAGATGCAGTTGCTTTCCAGGCCCTGGAAAATGTAGGTGTGTTATTAAAATGTAGATAAGGATGTGGCTTGGAAATTATCAAAGGTCCACAGGCTGAAGATGCAATATGAGAATGGTTGAAGAGTAAGTTCAGCCAGGAAAAACAGTGTGGTCTAATGGATAGAGCATCAGACTAGGACTCAGGAGACCTGGGTTCAAATTCCGAATCAATCATGGGGAGTCTGTGTGTGTGGGGGCAACAATAAATAAAACCGTAGAAACCTTATTAGTGTCACCTTAAGGTGGAAGCAGCTTGGTGGCATATACAAGGCATATAACAAGAAGTGTGGCCATGCTGGTCTCTGAAGTTGGCTTCCCACATATAGATGTTTTCTGTGTTTAATTGTTTTTTTTCAGTAAACAGAACACTTATATGCATCACCTCCCCATCGTCTTGCTGTTGGAGCAAGTGAGAAATGGTTATGAGTTTTTTATGTCAAATGGTATTAATACAGTTGGTACTGAGGTTTCAAATTCTTGCTGCTCAGGTAGACTGCTCCTGCTTCGAAGATCTTGTATGGGGAAAAAAGCAAGATACAGTACTTTAGATCCATGTCACGTGCCTTTTGACTGTCTCCTACAGTATCCTCAATGAATCGTTCAATGTATGTTAGGCTGGAGATTCCAGGCCAAGGCAGTGATGCCATGGTACCACCCTGCCTGGCCTGGCCTGGTGTCCCTGTTAAGACTCTACAAACTAAGATTTCACCATGTTTCTGATTGTCATGCTAGAGATAGGTCTATTATTGTGTTTTATTTTGGAAGGGCATATGATCTGAGGGTGGCCGTTGATTCAAAGGATATATTTAGAGTCTGATTTATTGTTGTGGCAGAATCTGAATGGATTGCCAGATAATGTTTTAACTGGATTGTTACCAATTTTCTGTGACCCCAATTGGGAGGAAAATATCCGCAGAGAAGTCATTATGTGGAAGGGGAAAAAGACATTCATGTGGCAAAGAGTCCATGGTTTTCTACTGACTGTGCAGCCTGTATTTTAAATTACCCACACTGCTGTCTTAGAAATAGGCAAAATATGCATTTTGACACCTGGGCCATGTAATTGTGGTTTGACTTACTGTTTTATTGATCTCAGTAGAGAATGTAGAAATGCAGGATAAATATCTGTTATGCTTAACTCGTAAGTTTAGAAATGCATGATAAATATCTGCTATGCATAACTCAGCTACTGGTTTGGGATGTGGAAATAGCAGTTAATAATTTTATTATTTTTCAAGGTATTAGCTAAATGGACAAGTATGTTTGGTAGATTAGGGCTGTTGAATAGGAAGAGCCCAACGTATATTTCATTCTTAGAGGCAAAGGCAAGAGGACTCTGATTATGACATGCTGGGTCCTTGCAACAGTGAATGGACCTTGATGCTTTGGGTGGGTCCCCTTCTAAGTACCCTGAATGACTGCTGTTCATGGATAGGGGATACTAATCTGCTTGTAGGAGGGGACTGGAACTTCCTTGACAATTGTTTAGCAATAATGTATAGATAGATAGATAAAACTTTATTACGATCAAAAACCAGCCACAAATAAAACATTGAAATATATAAATATACAGAGGTATGCAAAAATATTGGGATCAAATGCAAATACTCGGTTCTGAGGTGAACAACAGCAGCATCGAAACATCTCTCCTAAAGCAATTCCAGAATTTCTAGCAAACCATGCTCTAACTACAGAGCTTATCCCCTTTAGGGTGCTTTTTCTAATGCCACTTGCAACAGTAAGAAATTTGGCAACCCTATGTGTAAGAACGGGATTGGAGTCAGACAGCAGCATATTCATACATTGTTGCTCTGTACAACCGGGAAATCGGCCAATCAGAGGGGAGACAAGTTCTTCATGTACATCCTTGTAAAATGTGCATCGCAGCAGGATGTGTTCCATTGTTTCTATCTGCTCCATTCCATGTGGGCAAAGGCGCTCTGCTCAGGGGATCTTTTTATACCGTCCCTCCTGCGCTGTTGAAGGTAGTGCATTAAGCCGGGCCAGAGTAAACGCCCTTCTATGCCTGGGCTGCTCCAACTGGGCAAAATAAGGTGCTGCTGTGACCTTGTGTAAATTGTCCTCCCTAAGATAGAATTCTGGGACACTGCTTAGATCATTTTGTCTCTCAATGTCTTCAATACACTGCTTAATGGTTTTCTTTGCCTGTTCCATTCCCGTGGATGACAGAGTCAGCCTAGAGAGACCCAAAGAGGCTATTTGTTGTTCAACTAACTGAACCCATTTTGACTTAAAAGTGTCTTGCAGGATCAGTGGTGTAAGACCAATAGGGAGAATGAGACAGTCTGAGCCACTACATGAGAATTGCAATCCATATCCTGGCTTCGATTTTAATTTGACCAGTTTAAACACCTGAATGAACCTCTCTTCTTCAGAGTGGTAGTCTTTAATGGGTTGAATAATTGTGGCAATGAAGAAACCACAAAAGAAACATTTACTACTGTATTACATAAACAATTGATGTTATTTTAGTTGCATTTGGTTCTTTAAAACGTCCTTGTAGGATTTCATTCTGAATACAATTCCAAATGTACACTATAGTCCCTAAACCCCTTTACAGCATTGGGGGTTGAATAATTTTGAACACAACTGTAAATATACAGAGGTATGCAAAAATATTGGGATCAAATGCAAATACTCGGTTCTGAGGTGAACAACAGCAGCATCAAAACATCTCTCGTAAAGCAATTCCAGAATTTCTAGCAAACCATTCTCTAAATACAGAGGCTCACCCACTTTTAGGGTCCTTTTTCTAATACCCATTGCAGCAGTGAGAAATTTGGCAACCCTATGTGTAAGAATGGGATTGGAGTCAGACAGCAGCACGTAAATACATTGTTGCTCTGTACAACCGGGAAATCGGCCAATCAGAGGGGAGGCAAGTTCTTCACGTACATCCTTGTAAAATGTGCACCGCAACAGGACATGTTCAGTTGTTTCTGTCTGCTCCATTCCACATGGGCACAGGCGCTCTGCCCATGGGATCTTTTTACTGTATACCGTTCCTCCTGCACTTTAGCAGTAAGGTATGTGCTTAATGTTGAACTCCCACCAGCTAAATCAGTAAGTTGCTATCCTCCCTTTCTTTCTTGGAAGACCTTGACCACCTGCTGGCAAACACTTGGTCTTCAACAGGTTCCATTCATTCTATTATCTGTATGTATTTATTTATATTAGTTATATTTTGAGTCAATGTGGTATAATGGTCAGAGTACCAGGCGGTGATTCAGGAGATGCGGGTTCTAATCCCCACTTAGCTATGCAACTGACTAGGTGACGTTGGTGCCAGTCAATCAGTTCACTTGCCCTTCCTCACAAAGTTGTTGTGAGGATGACGTAGGAAGAAGGAGAGTCTTGAGTTCACTGGAGGAAAGGAGTGGGGTATATTAATAAATAATAATAAATAGGGAGAGGATTTCTGTGATATGTCATATTTTTTCTGCAGCCTTTCTGCAATTTATAAGTGGTTTAGGACATGTTTATGAGTAATCTGGTGAGAAAGGCCAGATTACTCATAAGGATGTTTAAACTTGCTTGCAGGTTCAAATATAGATTGCAGAGAAAGTGTGAAATGTCATAGAAATCCTCCTCCTAATAATAAATAATATTCTGTTATGCATCTAAAGAGCTCAAAGGAGTGAACAATGAGCTCAAGAGAGTATGCTTTTCACCTTGTCTTCATGACTCTGTGAGG